GTAACACCTTCTCTTCCTAAAGCAGTTCTGTTCAAACCACCCCCATAACTTAATAAAAATAAATTTCATATTGGTGAAAATAATAAAACCTTAATGGATCAGTTAATAGCCAAATTATCCCAGTTAGATATTAAAGAAATTCCTTCTCCCAAACTCAGTATTTCCATACCAAATATACCTGTTCCATTACCAGAATCTTCAAATAAAAGAAAATCAAAAATACCAGAGCATGAAACAATGATGTTCCAAGAAGTAGAACCAATTATAGAAGACACCATACAAAACCAAGAAAATGCTTTTATGGATACTACACCTATTGATATAAAAAGAATAGCCTATGGTAAAACATGGAAACCAATCACAGCTTTACCATATTATAAAAGACCTACACTTGTTGATGTCCAGCTTGAAGAAGATGACATACAACAAGTTGTTTCCTATTCAGGAAGATCAATAGTTAATTGGACAATAGACGGTTTATCTGAATTAAAAATACTAGATGTCATGAGACATATGACCATGTTTACCTCTGCAAACAAAATGGCAGGTAATCCAGACCAAGAAGTGGCTAAAGCAATAGTTAGTGGATTCACTGGCTGGCTAAGAGGTTGGTAGGATTTCTATGTGGATGATGAAACAAAAAATAGAATCCTTACCAATACAAGACAATGAACCGCCAGAAATGAACAAAATCAAGAAATAATTTATACTGAAAGTGATGCAGTAAACACCTTAATATATACTATTACATTATATTTTGTAGGAAGTACGGCTTTATTATTATTTATTTCTTCTTCTGTAACATCTTCTATTTGTAATGTAAGTATTTGAAATTCCTCTATGTCTGGTTCAGATGTATAGGTAGGAATGACTACATGATCAGCTGTTCTATTGACTCCTTGTAATTGGAAGTTTGAAGATGGTGTAGGTTGTGAAGCAGAAGGAAGTATGATAACATCAGGAGTAGTATGACAAGATTTTCTAGCAGGTATTAATGGTTTTTTATTTCTTTTCCTATTAATATCTATATCATCTTTGACTATAGACTGTTGGAATTTTATTTCAATATTTCCATCTGGATGTTCTATTATTTGGTTTCGAATATTATTTCTAGGTGCTTCTTGGGGTTGGTTTGCATGTTGTAATGCCCAAGATTGAGGTAGAATAATATCGGACCAAGTAATTGTTTTGGGTATAATCGTATTTGATTTTTCTATATTTGTTTGAAATAATATAGTTTGATCTTTTTGATCAGCCTGCATAATATTAGGACAAAGAGTATTCATTACTTTGTAATAAATTCTGTATACTATTGCTAAATTCTGAGAACCATGTATCATATTAAATCCATGAGTTTTCAAATTTATAGATAATATATCTAATATGTTTGGGTTTGTTAAAGAAACATAAAAATTTGGAAAGCAATTAAAATATATAGGTCCACTACATAGGCTAGAATCTACCATGCCTAGGAGTGAATCTGAGAAGTTATTGTGTCTTGTATCTCTTAGGCATACAAGCACTGAAGTGTTTAACCCTAGTCGGGATAAAGGTTTAATGGCTATTTGGATTAGCCCAATATGCAAATATTTATAATTATTCTCTTTATGTTTTTCAATAATTTTTCTTGATAATAATTGAAAGTCTTCTTGATTTTGAGTTACGGATAGACTTTCTTCTACTGTTTTTATAGCATAACCTAATTTGAATTTAAATGATCCTTTATGATAAATATCTTTTATTGGTACCTTAGGAATATTCCAATTTTGGATATGATGTTCAATATCATTTATAATAATCTCCTCCTTATTTTTAACTCTTAATGTCTGAGATTGAGTTGCAGTATTACCTTTAAGACTCCTAATTAAATTTGCCATCTGTAGGTTGCGGATAATGACAATCTAGACGATCAAGGGTCCAGCGTGTTCCCCTAAGCGGCTCTTCCTGGCCTTGGCGGGTACTTTGCCTAGACTTTTCCTTTCGTCTCTTGCCTTAACTCTCAGACCAACTTTCTTAGATGTAAATTTAACTAGGTTTCTACAGTAATATTGTAACTTTTTCTCTCAACAGTTTACTGATGGCTCTGATACCAAAACGTGCCCAGATCTACAGTGAATTTTATATATATATATATATGGGATTGTATACGATCAGACCACTTACCCTTGATACAAGGTGGTCACAATTTCTTGTAACCATCCGATGTGAAATTTGATAGCTTGGATGTGTCACAAAGTTCGAGAAGTTTGAGCTTGGTCAATGGAATAATTGCAGCCACCCAATTTCACATCCAATGGTCAAGATTAATGTGACCACCTTGTACCAAAGGTAAATGGTTTCATTCTATACTTTCCCCATGTATATATAGGGATTGTATACAATGAGCCCATTTACCTTTGAGACAAGGTAGTCACAATTCCTTACAGCCATTTGATGTGAAATTTGATACCTTAGATGTGTCACATAGTTCGAGAAAATTTCTTTTGAATTTTGAGCTTGGTCAGTGGAATAATTGTAGCCACCCAATTGTACATCCAATGATCAAGACTAATATGACCACCTTGTATCAAAGGTAAATGGTCTCATTCTATACTTCCCTGTATATATATATGTATATATATAAACTCTTCGCAATGCCTACCCTCATCACTATCCAAACTTCATCGCACTGTCACAGTTGTCCGATAGTGTTTTACATTTCATTTTTATCTTCAAATCCAAATTACTTGAAATTTGGAGGGTGTGTACATTTTAGTTAGGCGCACCTAATAAAAAAATGAAACAAATAATTCGTAAAATATAAATTGACCAAAATACTCCCAAAACTTTTTGGGGGTATTTTAGTCAATTTATATTTTACGAAATATTTTTTTCATATTTTTATTAGGTGCACTTCACTAAGATGTACACACACTCAAATTTCAGAGCATTTCGATTAGTAAAAAAAATGAAAATTGAAACACTACTGGACAACTGTGACCTTGCGATAAAGTTTGGATGGTGATGAGGGTATGCGAAATCATTGTTCATTTTTTCCTATGGCCATTTTGTAGTATCTTTCATATATATATATATATGAGCAGTGATTTCATGCAACGGTTGTAACATAGTATATTGCAACCACACTTCTATAAAACCATGTTTGTGGTATTTGTGTGACCCAAAAGTTTGCACATACACTCTTATTTAAAAATAAATCTGTCTTATTTTATTTAAAATAAAAACAAATAAGCCTCAACCTCAAAGAGAGATGCCTTGAGCAGGATTTGAGGCCTCAACCTCTTGTCTTATTTTACCAATATGCTGCTTGGGTCTTAATGACAAAAATAGGTATCTTACTATATATATAAACCATATTTACTTTTCACATTTACTTTTGTTATTCCTTTTATTTAGGATGGCATGAACTCATCCGAGTTACTCAGACTCAGGCCTTGGCCAATATCCAAGCAGGTTGGTTGGCCGAGTCGATTTTCTTACTCACCTTGGCCAATGTCCGAGCACGTTGGCTGTCGATTTTCTTACCTTGGCCAATGTCCGAGAAGCACGATGGGCGAACATTGTTTTCCTGTATATGAAAATGAGGATGAACTTGTTCTCTAAAGTGTGTTGTTCTTTGGTTATGGTTTATTTTCATGGAGAATGTATACCTATGCACATTCTAGCGGCCCCCATATTTTATACATAGCCTATCTTCATTTGCGTTTGCTTTAAAGAAGAGATCGATGACATGACCTCTTTTTACTTTGCTTTAAAGAACCCATAATCGATCAGATGACCTCTTGCAAAGAGGCATGTTGGCGTGGGTAGGCTAAGCAGCACGCACCACTTGATTACTAAAAATTGACGCTCATATTATATATACAATTTTTCTTCTTGATTTTCTGTTTTTAAAAAAATGGGCTAAATTATCTCAGTCAAGATTCGAGCATCTTTGACCGAGTCAATTTTCTGAACACTGACGTTGTTCATTTGTTGGTCCCACACTCTCCTAAACCACTTAGCGAAGGTCGTTACAGGGACCGTTAGATTATGCAGACTTCAACACGTTAAGAGTGACACAGTGGCCAGGGGCCGCATGTCCAACATGCACCTCAAAGGTCTTGCCCATTACCTATGTTGAACATGGCCCTATATTTAGCATTCACCTCACTCTCACTGCACAAAGTTAAACATTCACAAATACCATCAGCCTCTTTCCTTTGTATTCTACGAGTGTCATGGGGAAGCTCCCTCTTGCATCTGCCCTACTTCTCCTAGCGGAAGGTCATGTCTTTCTGGTATTTGCAGAAGTGTTTCTTCCCTTTGTATTCTACTGAATCTTTACTTGGCTTCTCGCCATATTCGACATGTAGGGAAGTTTGAACTATTGCTGCGTATTGGCGACACCCGAGAGCTATTGGGCATGCGCGTTCTCGAACACTCCAATACCCGATATCATTCATGCCCGCCTTCGTCGAGTACCGTCAGGACTGTTGTATATGGGTTCAGGCGGTCTAGATCCCCGCTTTTGGTATTCTGACTTTACAGAGGAGCATCGTGATCCCAGAGTAACAACCCTCTACTTAGAGGAGGAGCTCAAAGTCGGAATGAAAATGGTTTTCCACTTTCGTAAGTCGGACATCGAGAATGCCTCCCCTTTCCTTTCCCGTGAGGATGCAGACGCCATACCTTTCTCTTCTGCAAAGCCCCCACGCTTCCTGCAACACTTCTCAATTCCTCTTGCTTCTACTGAAGCAAGTGAATGAACGAGACCCTTGCATGGTGCGAGTCCATTGAAGGCAAAGAGAAGTGCCTGACATCTATAGAGGCCATGATTGACTATGCCAACCTCTATGGTGTGGACCAAAACATTACTATCCTCCGAACTCGGATCGACAATGCATCTGCGGTCAAGGCATATGTTGTGAAAAAAGTGGAGAGAAAGCCTACAAAGGCTAGCTCAACAGTGTGCCATAACTTGCCCTATCCCTCTGCTGTCTACCATTGCCACCATATACTTCAAGGAAGAATCTATGAGGTGATGTTGGAAGAAGATGATGGGAGCATTGTGGATGTGATTGCGGCGTGCCATGAAAATGCCAGAGGTTGGACCTTTTTTCTTTGGCCACAATCCCTTCCGGCAGGCAAGAAGACCGACAATCAGAATTATGCATGCCAACCCGCATTGTATGGGCTTCTGTTTAAGTCCCAATGATTTACTATCTTTTCTTTTCTTTTTTCTTCCTTTAATAGAGTATTTAATAGAGTAGTAGAGTAAAATAACCGACCAAAATTCATGTAGCTACTAACCTATTAGTTGGACAAAAGCTTTGACAATGGTGATGATTTTTTTTTTCTTTTTTATCTTAATTTTACTTTTGTTTGATAGGCCGTTAATTGCGATGGGCTCTAGTATTCGAGGCCCAAAATGACGTTGGCAAGACTCATAGCTGCTCGATGTGCTTTTCATTAAAATATCGGTGGTTATGTATGTGTACTGAATTTACAGTCAACAACCATAGAGTCTAATTTTGTATCATTACCTGAGTCCAAATTCAATCAAACACTTTTTTGTCTTCAAAAAAGGAAGTTGGATTTTATTTGTAAAAAAAAAAAACTAATAACAACAATCGTTTTTAGTTTTTGGTTGTGGTTAACAGTAAATATGCACTGTCTAACATATGTCTAACAGACTTTTCACAAAACATCATCCTCAAGTATGAAATTGGTAGAGCCTCGAGTTTTTCAGAAGAGAATTCTCTCTCTCCTCACTATATATATATATAGAGAGAGAGGGGAACAAATTATATCAGTCATGGACTGATGCAATAGTATAAGCCCAACGGCGGCTCCGATTAAATTTGGGCGAATCTGATGCTCATAATCATGTTTTGTCTTTGAATTTTAGTTCTTTCAAAAAATTCAAATCATTTGAAATTTAGAGCATATATTTTAAAAAAATAGGCACATTTAATAAAAATATTAAAAAAATAATTTTTCAAAAATAAATTGACTAAAATGCCCCTAAAACTTTTAGGGGTATTTTGAGTTGTCAATTATTTTTTAATATTTTTATTAGGTGTTCCTTAATTACTAGAGTCGACGTTCCAAATTTCATGTGATTTTGATTCATAGAAAACAGATAAAAAATTAAATACAAAATATAATTATGACCGTTAAATAGGTTCAAATTGAATCTGAGTGATTGGGCGTTGACTATATCTGTAAGCTAGGACGAAAAAAATCATGAGAACCTAGCTTCCATAAACACTTATCATAAAGCGCAAGATAATATACCTACCCTTCCCATACATATCGAATATACTATACACTTTTTGTACGAACCTTGTAAATAATATACACTTCCCTTGACATCCTCCCTCAAACTCACAGACATCCTCCCTCAAACTCACAATACTTTACGATAGAGAAGTTGGAGTTTGGACAACAAACAGAAAAAACATAGGTGAGCCATTGTGAAATGATTAACTTTTTTATCCTTCAAAGAAACAATACGTAAAGTAAGAGTGCCCTGAAAAAAAACTAATGACGCGAAAAGTGATAATCAATTTCAATATGACCGGTCAACCATATTAATTGAGATTTTATTGTCACAAAAAAGATTGTATATAATGAGATCATTTACCTTTGATACAAGATAGTCACAGTTACTTCCAACCATCCGATGTGAAATTTGATAGCTTGGACATGTCACAGAGTTCGAAAAAATTTCTTTTGAAGTTTAAACTTGGTCAATGGAATAATTGTAGCCACCCAACTTCACATCCAATAGTTAACATTAAAGTAACCACCTTGTACCAAAGGTAAATGGTCTCGTTCTATACTTTCCCATCATATAAAATGGAGTACAATGAGAGTGAACAATGCCTCTGTCTCGAGAAGCTCTTGGAACTAACCATTTTTTGTTATAGCATGTGTATGAGGATTGTATTTAGCTTCACCACTGGAACGAGCCACCACATCTTGTTCCTTAATTTTCCCAAAATAAAGAAGGCAGTAATAGAACAACAATCACTAACATTTCCTACCCATCCCACATAGAAACAAACATAATGTTAAAAAGAAGATTTATAGGATCGAAGCCAGCCATAGCATCAGACTCAAAGCATGATAACAAAGTGAAAGCATAATAACAAAGGGAACAGAGCAGGAAATAGACATAAACTGACTCCCCACATGAATGGAGTGTCAGTACCAGGTAGGATTAGAAAGTAGTTTTCCATCCAAAAAATGGAGATGATATTTTAGTTCAAAGTTATTTGGTGATGAACGGAGTGTTACTACCAGGTAGGATAAGAAAGAAGTTCTCCATCCGCAGTATGAAGATGATATTTTAGTTCAAAATTACTTGGTGATGAACGAGCACCATGTAGGATCAGAAAGTATTTCTCTACGTTCTTTACCCAAAAAAAATGGAGAGGGCTATCTGCATGATAGGCTAATCCTACCCGTTTGGTGCAAGCCCAATGGTGGACAGCGGCCAAAAATCTAATGAGACCTCTCCGAGAGAGTTCTCTTGGGATAGATAGGGCTTTAGGTTTTTGTAACTTTACGGTCCTTCCCATGAGATTTTGTTTTTTTTTTTTCTTTTTTATATCAAATTAGAGTACTTTGAAAGAAAATGAATAATTTAATTATCTTATATTAAAAAAAGCATGGAGGGGGTTATTTTGTCTAAATTTTTAAATGCGAAAAGGGTCACCGGTTTGCATGTACCCGAGGGTCTATTGACCGTAAGTCACATGGAGGGGACTACTTTCTCTTTCCAATATATATTATAATCAATGGACAACTAAAACTCATAAGGGATCATCTATCAAGAGCCATTTATCTTCTGAACTTAGATAGAGATCACCATCATTCTTGTCCTTTAAATTTCAAGATGGGTGGTGGGAAAAGTGTCATTGAATAGACACAAAGATTCCAAAACAAAAATTCTTGAACATCGCGAATCACCTCAAACCATCCAATTTGACATCTAATAAATGAGAATTATTGTGATCTCTATCTACAAAGATCAATAGTCTCTTTATAGACAATCCCAAGTCGATAATCCACAATAATCGTTACTACTGAAGTTTCAAGAAGAGATTAGTTACCATCCAACAAAACAGTGTAGGGTCATGGATGGGGAAAGTCCGAAGGTAGCATAGAGGACATGCAGGACCATTTTTATTTGTGGGTCCCACATTCTCCAAAACCTAGTCACTTGCATCAGCGTTTTGCGAGGTCATTGGATTATACAGACCTCAGCACGTTAGACAGACAGTGTGTCGCCAAGGGCCGCATGTCCAACATGCACTTAAAACGCTTTGCCCATTTCCTATATTGGGCATGGCCCTTCCTATCCCATATAGATGGATAACCCCACAATTAAGGGATGTCACAACGCATGGCCAACATGCACATCAAATAACCCTACAATTAAGGAACCTCACGACGCATGGCCAACATGCACATCAAAAACCATTTCTCTCTCCATGGCCATTCCCTATATTTAACATGACGCTCCTCCACGTAAATGAAAGAGAGACCTCACCCTTACTGCACAAATTAAAGCATCACAAAACCAACAGCCTCTTTCTTTTGTATTCAACAAGTATCATGGAGAGGTTTCCTCTTGCATGTGCCCTACTTCTCATTGCGGTAGGTCAATGTCCCTTTTCGTATTTAGAGAACTTTGTGATATATTGTTTTTTCTTTCTTTATTTCTTTAGGTTCTTAAGAAAATGGATAGGGCCCGTCATCCACACTGATTCACCCAAAAAAATATATATATATTCTGGAATTGTTGTCCATCCATTTAGCATACAATGGTGGGCCTTTTAAGTGGAACAATCAGCTCTTTTTCTGTGCTATACCATACACTTTATGCATATTCAATGGCTTTCACCTGATATTAATCCTCAAATATAGAATGTTTTTTTCCTATTGTTACTGCTAATGTTGTTATTTGTGAAACGCAGGGAAGGGTGAGCCATTACTGTGTATTGGCGACACCCGAGTCGTATTGGACCCAGGTATTCCCCAATAATCCGTTGCCCGATGTAATCCGTTCCCGCCTTCGCCCAGTGCCTTCGGGACTGATGCATATAGGTTCGGGAAATCGAGATCCCCGCTTCTTGAATAACGAGTTCACAAAGGAGAGCCGTGCTAAAGAAACAACCTCCTTCTTAGAGGAGGAGCTCAAAGTAGGAATGAACAAAATTTTCCACCTTCATAAGGCCGACTTCAACAATAACTCTCCTTTCCTTCCTCGTGAGGATGCAGATGCCATACCTTTCTCGTCTGCTCAGCTCCCACGCATATTGCGCCACTTCTCAATCCCTCCTGCTTCGAGTGAGGCCCATGAAATGCACGCTACCCTTTCGTGGTGCGAGTCCAATAAAGGCAAGGACAAGTGTCTGACATCTTTGGAGGCCATGATTGACTATGTCACCCCCATCTTCTCTAGACCATAACATTACCCTGCACCACACCAGCATCGACAAGGCTTCTATGCTCCAAGCATACACTGTGAAGAAAGTGCAGAGAGTGCCTACAAAGCCTAGCTCAGCAGTGTGCCATATAATGCCCTATCCCTTTGCTGTCTATAATTGCCACTATAGTGAAGAAGGAAGAATCTACGAGGTGAGCTTGAAAGGGGAAGATGGGAGCACTGTAGAAGCAATTGCAAGTTGCCATGCACATAATAAGAACTGGATCGGTTTGCCATTTTGGTTTCAATCCCTTCCTGCAGGCATTAAGCAGCCGGATCAAGGTTTTATTTGCCATTTCATACCTGATACCCACATTGTATGGGCTTCTGCTTAAGTCTCATAACTTGAGGATGCATTCAAAATATTGATATCATCCTCCTTTTATTGTGGTTGGCATAATAATGATGTATACAAGGCCTTTTAATTGTTGATGCCTATAGTTGCATTTCACCCCTCTTCTCTTTTTTTTTCTCAAATTTTTTCCCCTTTTTTTTTTTTTGGAGTGTCAATGGTGACAAAATCTAGGATTTTGTTTTTATTGTACCTTAAATGAGGTAGGAAAGACAAATAGCTACTCAATGTGCTTTTAATTACGATATTGTTGGTATAGCAAGTATATCTGATTTTATTAAAATAGAAACCAAATTCATTTAAATATCTTTTAAATATCTGATGATAGACTTTTTGAAGCTTTGAAAAAGAGAGAAACTCTGTTTTTTGGTTTTCAGCTGCGGTTAATGGTGAAATGTGCAGTATCTTCCAAGTTTCTGAGAGGTTTTTTCATAATGCAATATCCCCAAGTTTGCAATTGAGTAGCTATCCAAATCATCAAAGGGCAGATCAATTTTGTCTCTTGTATTTTCCAAATCCTTATCAAGGAGACAAGGAGTGAGATTATTAAAAGACTTTAGCAACTATTTTAATTGGATCAATTGAAAGAATTGCACATTTAACATATTAAGTGAAGCGTTTTTAGGGAGAGGAAAGTTCTCTGTTTTTTGAAATTCAAATGCTTGTCTTGTTATACAGGGAATTTCTCAGCGTGATAAGACTCTTCTTTGAATGTTGCTATTAGTCGCTATTAGAGAGAGATAGCAAAGACAAAAATTTCTTGCTTCTCTATAGTTCTCATATTGAGTTTCCTATCTAGTAATATATTAAGTTTTCTGTGGGATTATTATTGCAATGAGATTTATTTTCTAAAAAGGACAAGAATTATAATTCCAAAATAATTCTTGTGAATGAGATATTGGTTTACCTTCCGTTGATGTAGGCACCATTGCTGAATCAAATATATGTCGTGTTGATTTTTCTTCTCTATTTTTTTTATTGTAAATTTTACATGGTATCAAAGCATACCGATCTATTGCTAGCTGTTGATAGCTCCATAGTCGGATTTGTTCCTCTAGATCCCTCATCTTTGTCACATATCAAACAACGTCATTTTGCTTAGTCGGTGATGCAAGGTTACAACGTCACATCTCATACAACTGTGATCATTGGATCGACTCAGATTCAATCTAGGTCGTTTGGTCTATATATAATTGTAGACAAGTAGGCTTATGCTGGCATTATATATATATATATATATCAATCTTATAACAGCTGGGCAGCAATAATGAATATAATATAGGTGGAATAAGAGCCGTTAGATCTTCATCATGTGGTTCAGAATGCACATCACTATTTTAATTTTAATTTTTTGTATAAATCAGATTAAGATGAAATTTTGGATGTATATATCTAACACTATTGCGCACCATATAAAAATATAAAATAAATACTTTCAATAACTTAAAATGACCAAAATACCCCTATCATCTTTCAGAGGTATTTAGATCATTTTATATTTTGGAAAATATGTTTTTTATATTTTTTATTTGTGCGCCTTATTTTTTAGTACATATGTATAAAATTTCATTATGATATGATTTATAAAAAAAATAATTAAAATTAAAATGGTGATATGCATTTTGAACCACATGATAAAGATCTGACGGCTCTCATTCTACCTATATTACT